GATTAAAAAAAGTTCCGCCAGGACAACGTTCGCCCAGCGGAATCAGTTTTTGGTGAATTTCTCCACAATGGTTGCGTGCACAAATTTTTTTTTAGCATACACAATTATACGACGTCATACACTAAATATCTGCATAATTAAAATCTTTAAATTCAACAACATTCCGCTGCACGAACGCACGCATTAACTGAATATTTGGAGCTGTGTGGAAACAATAGACAGCATTGATAGTCGAGTGCTCACACGTATTTGATCCCTGAGTCAAACAATCAATTATTGTGCACTTTAATTCTTTGTCAGACGTAGCACGGATTCTTAAGTTATTTTTTTTTTATTTGACGTTGGCCCATGTCGCTTACTACCGAACGAGATTTTTGCCAAACATTAGCACACTTCAAAAAAAAAAAAAAAAAAAATCAATTTCTGTGCCAAATTTTATTCAGACCTGTTTTTACGCGAAAGTGTAACAATGATCCATCTATGCTTACAAACGTTCGTGTTAATAAAGTAAGTAGATTCTTCTTCGATAAAAATTGTAGATATATACCTAAACGCAACATGTTATTTATAATAAATACTACAGTTATATGGCTAGTGTAGTATATAAAATCCGTATTATTTAAATAGGTAATTTTAGTAATCTTTACTGGATATTGTTTGACAAGGGCACGGACCCCGAGTCCGTGGAGATTGTAAATGTTCAATTATAAAAAAAAAGGTAAGTAGGTGCACCCAACATAACCTTTCGGGAATTAAAAATCTTAACGTTCAAATAAGTCATTACACGAAAATTCAGCTTAGACCTAAACTCAATAGGTGAGAGAAAACAGAAATAAACCAGTATCACCTTGCCAAAGTAAGTCTGGGGCACTCAAATTAGAAGGTGACCTATTTAACACTAAAATAAAGTTTGATATCAAAAGCGCTCAAAGGTACATGTGACCTTTTCGAACTGGGTGAGTTGGGTTAACTAGACGAGGAGTAAAAGGGACTGTTTGATGATATGTGGCCACAACACAACTCTGATGGGTTTGTACCTCATACTGAAATGCTCTCTGTGTGACTACACCCTTATATTTTACACGTGTGTTGTAGAAACATGGGTCAACCAAAAATGTTTCGTAATTAATAGTATATTAACTCCAAGTTATTTTTTGTTCAAAATAAGGATAAAAATAATGGTACATATATTCACTTGCATGAAGTAGTTTCACATACATCGCCTACTGTTTTCGGCTGGCATAATTATAGCAAGTAGGAATCCACAATAGTTTTTAAGTTTTCTAGAAGAGAGCAATTAAAATTTGATGGGAGATGAGAATGACGTTTTAAAAGTGATATTGTGGTGACCTAGAGGTCACGGACCCCGAAATGGAACTTTTATTTAATTTTCTAAGTAGGTATATTGAGACACCATTGACAAACAGTGCAAAATAAAAAGTGAGGTAACTCGGACTTATAATGCCTAAATAAGTTTGAAATTGTCAAACCGCCTTGGGAAACATGGTGACTAATACTCAAACCTTCTCCGAGTGATAAAAGGTCTTTGTTCAGCAGTAGACACTTACAGGCTTGTCAATATTTAATCTACAAGACAGGAAGGCTCAGAAACCAGATAATCAGCGCCACTGCTTAAAAGTAGACTAATTTTAAATATGGCTAAGTTGACATAAACTGAAAAAAACATTAATGTTGGCATAACTAATTCCAATAATTTATTGGGAACAGTTTGCTTTATGGTTCCACTTTTAGCAGTTGACTTGAAGCCAAACTCAGTCATTTAATATGAAATGTAGAAAAATGTTGGCCACTCGCTACACTTCTGCGAGCCAAAGTTACAAGTCAGTATCTCATTTATACTTACAAGCGAATATAAACCTTATTCTTCAGTTAAAGTTAGTAGTTGAAAAAATAGTCTCTTGTCGAAGTAGTAAAGTTGAGTACGTTACGGGAACAAAGTTGTTTTGTTCTGAAACTATCATGAAAGCTTGCTTCTTGTATTGTCCCCTCGACGCTTTGCTAGAATAATGCGAACTTAGATGTAGTCTTCCATAAAATTTTAATGCCTTCGCCGCTTTGTAGGTTTCGGGGTCATAAAGAACAAACGCTCTTATTAAGTTACCGATGTTGGAGAAAAACGTTACCTATCTAAAAAACCTTACATAGCAATGAAAAAGAAATATTGCGAAAGGAATATTTTTCAAACAATGAAACAATCCATTTATTTTTGTCAAATTATATGTAAAAAACTAGATGGAGATGCCGAAACAAACTCAGAGGTTGAGTCAACCCTGAATCTAACCAGAGCACACGACATTACCTACGAGTAGAACTTCAGGTAAACTCCAAACACACCTTGCAAACGAAAACATTTCCAATGCCCTCATATCTTCACTTGAATATGAAGAGAACTGTCCCAAGCACAACACGAATGCTCTAACAACAGGCACTTTACAGCAAATTGCATCCACTTAGTACACTGTAGGGCTGCCAAGCACAATTTCTGCGAATTCAAGTGCGCTGTGCTTAAATAAACGCTTGAATGCCTCACGCAGGTTACCGTGTGGGACATACTTTTGCACGAGTGCTCCTATATGAATATGAAAGCCTTCCTACTTCCATCTAAGAACATAAGTGCCTTTTATAAGCGGATAGGTCTTGTTGCAAGTGCGAAAATATTTTTATCGTAGCAATTGCTATTTCTGGAGATGTGTGCGTTGTCGTGGTGGATTGGAAGTTATTTTTAGATTCCTTTCAAATGAAGTAGTTTTAATTTTCATTATTTTATATTGATTTTTAAGGGAGAAAAACTGGTTGGGAAGGAAATTTCATGGTGGCCTGGAGGACAGGCTTCTTATGCTTAAGGTCGCAGATCTAAAACCTGGCAAGTTCTGACTAATTCCGAGCAATATTACTACATCATATATATCTACTTTTTAAATTTTGTTTAGACACCATTGACAAGCGTGAAGAAAATCATCGTGAGGAAACCTAATTATAAGTTTGTAATCGCCAATCCGCCTTGAGCAAGCGTAGTGCGATATTTCTTCGTGTAAGACAAGGCTTTTGCTTAGTAATGTAATGGTCACTTATAGCCTGGGATTCAGAATGATGATGACGACAATGATGAAACAAAAAGTTAAAAAATAGTCCCTCTATGACCTCGATAGACTAGAAAACAAAACCGGTGAAAACCTGATGACCAAACATTCTTTAAGCGGATGTCTTCTTTTAGAAGGATTTAAGAGGGCTTCTTAATACCGGCCAACCCCCCTTAACTAAGAGTATGTTTTGAACAAACATAAATTACTTTTTGTTGTATTATATTGCTTTAATCTGTATTGTTTGTATAGATTAATTTTAAAGTAGGTTTAATTCTTTAGTCTCTCAAGATCCAAAACAATTTCTTGCGTGCTTCTTGCATCTGCCATCCAGGTATTCTCTGCATCAACCAAAGGTCAGACGAGTAAAGAATGCTCAATACATTATTTTCTTTAGCATGAAGCAAAAATAAATAAATACATACCTACTATTAAAAAAGATTATACAGACTTCTAGAACACAGTTGCCTGCCAATGTATGTTACGTACCTTTGTACCTGACTATGAATTTAAAAGCTCTTACGTTAATAGGCTCTCTATCTCTCTGACCTTTTTACTTATCCTATCGCGTTTTACAAACTGTACTTTCAGTCACAGGTAATAAACATCATAGACACATTCTATGCAAATATAAATAAAGTTTTAATAAATTAATTAAATTATTTTATGAAGTACATACTATATCTAAAGACGTAGGAAAATCATCAAGGAATTCTCTTTATGTAGGTAGAAGAGGGAGTGTGTCAGACTCATAGTAAATAAACATCCTGTTCTTTCTTTCTCGTCACACCTTGGCTGGATATCTAAACACTTTCTACTTGCGTGAAAAATAAAAAAAAATATATAAGTATCATTTTGGACTTTTTTATTTACTTAGTATAAAATTAACAATTTGCTATAAACGTTATGTTGATATGGAACACTCCTTTCCGATTTCGTATACCTGTTAAAGCGACACGCATATTTACCGAAATCTAAATACGAAGTCAGCCATCTTGAAAACGCGCTAATGTCGACAATAAATCTTAGGATTTTGAAATTGGAAGGATAAAAACCGTTTCTCCGAACGAACGATTGATTTGTCGACGTTCACCTTTGATTTTCTTAAAGTTTTTTCATTCCGTTTTTCAAAACCTTTTTTAGAAAATAACTTTTTAGAAGCGTTAAAAGACTTTAATCAATATTGACGAATATTGTAAAACAATTAAGCCTTAATAGGTGCCGTATTGATTTTTCTTTCTGGTCATTTCTAAAGGCTATTTATTAGTATAACTCGAAAAAGTTTAAAACGCTTTGAGAACTCTTAAACCATTTTATAACCAGGTAGGTATTAATTTAAATACTTATACCCAGTTACTTTTTTTCAATAGACGGGTAGAATTTTTTGAATATGTGACACAGTAAATTTAATTAGACAAAAATATTAGATCAAAAACAATACCTCAATCGCAAATTTATCATTTGAACAAATTAATATTAGGTGTTAGCAAATTATATAAGGTATTACTAGCTTCGAATAATTATTATCTGTGCTCCAACAAACCAACTATGTTTAAACTAGTGATAAATTAAAAAGTTTATAGCGCTGTCAACACTAACCAATTCGCTGAAACTACATTCGAACAATTTGAAAATTAACATGAATTATGATTGGTTGTTCAGTTGGAAGTTTGCGGATGAGACTTTCGTTGGTAGTGGTGAAGGATACGCACGTGTTTTTTGTCGGTACTACGATTGTTGTCAATTTTAGTGATCTTTTTCATAGTGATCTAAATTGAAACATTTTGTGTTGTTTTTATTGTGTTTGTGTGTGTCATTTTTAAGGTTGTAAGTAGTAGTTTTAACTTTTAATAAGAACTTTTTCTATCCTTTACTTCCTTCTTCTCTCCATTGTCCAAAATGGACGAGGAGAAACCTCCGGACCCTCCCGATAAATTGTTGGATTACAATCCAATTTTAACCATTACCCTTCCCCACGATAATCCCGATCTTGAACCAATGGACTCTGAGTCATCAGCCAACAGAAAAAGATCTGCAGGCTCCCCACCTATCTCTCGTAATAACCCTCCAAAAGTAGCTAAAAACATAAATGGTAGGCAATGTTACACGGCAAAGGACAACCCCCCTTATATCGTATATGTCTCCCTCAAGGACTCCCAGACCTCTGGTACCACACTCCACCCAGTAAAGTTTGGGATGTTCTTGATGCGGAACAACATCAATAACGTTAAAACTGGCGGTGTCAAACGATTAGGAAGGAACAGGGTCTCAGTTGAGTTTGTGTCACACCAGGATGCCAACAGTTTTTTAGTAAACTGTGTGGTGGCACAAAACTACACAACATCAATACCGCAATTCAATATTACGAGAATGGGTATAGTGAGGGATGTTCCCATTGAGTGGTCGGAGGAGGAGGTTATCAGCAACATCAGGGTTCCTGCGGGATGTGGTGTTGTGATAAAAGCACGAAGAATGAACAGGAAAGTTTCCTCACCAAGCGGAATGGAATGGAAGCCCACCCAAACCGTAGTCCTAACATTTGATGGCCAAATATTACCCAAAAAAGTGTTTTGCTTTTATTCAGCGCTTCCAGTGGAACTTTATTCGTACCCGACAATCCAATGTTATAACTGTTGTCGATTCGGCCACACCCGCACTCAATGCCGTTCAAAACCACGCTGCTTCAAGTGTGGCCAGGATCATCCTGGTGATGGATGCCAATTAGCAATCGAGGCTGCACAGTGTATTAACTGCAATGGCAATCACTTTGCAAATGACAGTGCTTGTCCTGAGCTGGGCCGCCAAAAGAGCATTAAAGCTTTAATGGCGGAAAAATCAATTTCATATGCTGAAGCTAGCCAAGTTTTCCCACCTGTCAAAAGGTCGTATGCCGAGGTGTCCAAATCAACAAACTATATTGACTCAACACCAACCAAAAAACTATCCCAACAAAGAATCTCACATAAAAAAACAGTACTCCTTAAACCCAAATCCTATGCCCCCCTGTCTCCTAGTTATGATAAGAAGGCCCATCAGGCACTTATCCAAGACTATTCTTTTTCCCCATCCCAAAATGGTTGCGCTTTCCCAATGGAATTTGGAACCAACAAACATAGCTCCAAAGACATTTTAAATATTATTTCAAATATGTTAATAGCAGTGTTATCTAACCCTGCCCAAGTTGTACCTGACCACGTTGCACAAAGACTAGCTACCATCTTAGAGTATATTTATAAAATTCCATCCACTAACTCTCCTTCAGTGGAACGTGAGGAGTACTCTTCCCAGGAAGAGTGATTTACTCCATTTAATTAATAAATTTCAACCATTAATTTGTGGCATTGCTGAGACATGGCTCCTACCGAATATTAATTTCAGGATACCATGTTTCAGTGTTGTCAGACAGGACAGATCTGATGGTTATGGAGGTTGTGCTTTGTTAGTTAATAACAGAGTACCCTTCTCCCAGATCCCTCTACCCTTCGTTGGCGATGACATAAATGTTGTCGCTGTTAAGGCTGAGGACATAAACATTTTTGTATTTTATATTGCCCACCCCCAGAGTAGTCATATCATTTTAATAAAAAATCTACTAAGTTCAGTAAATGGCCCATTACTAGTAATGGGTGACTTTAATTGCCATCACTTTCGATGGGGGTCTGAAATATGCGACAGCATAGGTCATGACCTAGTAGACATGCTGGATGACCTCGACTTATGCGTCATCAATGATGGCAGCCCCACTCGTAGGTCTGCATTTGGTCAAAGAAACAGCTGTGTGGACTTGACCTTCTGCTCATCTAGTGTGGCTAGTTTGCTGAATTGGAGTTGTTTGGATATGACCTATGGTAGTGATCACTATCCCATTATTATTAAGAGCCCATCTAAATCCATTCCAGATAAATTCCTTCCTCCCTTACTAAAATATCGGCTTAACTCAGCTGATTGGGACCTTTATTCCAAACTTTTAGATCTTCGCATTTCCGCATTACCAACTGTCAACGCTGAGAACGCATTGGAGTGCTTTTCCCAATTTTCCGACGTAGTAGCTGCTACAGCTAAAGACTGCTTTCCGGAGAAAAGCTCCCCAAAAGGAAAAATCCCTTCCCCTCCTTGGTGGGATAGTGAATGCACTGCTATGATACGAGCTAGGAATGAGGCTGAAAAGGCATATAACCACGATATGAACCTGGAAAATCTCATAAAATTCAAACGAATATTGGCTAAGTCAAGGAAGTTGTTTAAAAAGAAGAAGAAACAGAGCTGGCGGAGTTTCTGTGGTTCTTTGAACCCATCCACACCGGTGGCAGCGGTTTGGCAGCGGGTGAAGAGCTTTAGGAACTCCTCTAAACCTCCTTCAATTTCCATCTTACCTGATAGTCTAAGCCATATGTTCTTTGCCAACATTGCTCCTGCTTATGTTCCCAGTGAAGATGAATGTTGTTGGGGATTGTGTGAAGATTCACATGACCCCCTTGACACGAAGTTCACTATGGAAGAGCTCCAAACGGTGCTGAACCATGTAAAAGACTCTGCACCAGGTAATGATGGGTTTCCTTACTCTTTCCTCTCAAAATCAGGAATGAAATCTAAACAATATTACCTTGACTTGGTCAATTTTTGTTTTATTTTTGGCTATATTCCTCCTACCTGGAAGGTTCAGGTTGTCATACCGCTGTTAAAAGCTGGTAAAGATTCTGGTGATCATTCATCCTACCGTCCTATTGCGCTATCGTCCATCCTTATTAAAATCCTAGAACACCTTATAAAAAACCGACTAGAGTGGTTGGTGGAAAGCCAGAGACTGCTGCCGGCGACTCAATTCGGCTTTAGAAAGGGCTTGGGAACGGCCGACAGTGTGGGCACCCTCACATCGGCCATCCGACTGGCCCTTAGCAGAGGTGAGTCGTTGGTGGCGGCCTTCTTGGATATTTCAGCGGCTTATGACTCGGTTCTCCTACCCCTTCTCAGGCAAAAGCTGCAAAAGCTGAGAATTCCGAGTAGGATTTGCCAGATTATAAGCCATATCCTCTCCAACCGCACCCTCCAACTAAGAACTCCTGAAGATAACCCAGTACAGAGAACTGCCTGGAGGGGATTACCCCAGGGGTCAGTCCTTAGTCCAATCCTCTTCAATATTTATACCCATGACCTCCCTTCCTGTCTTAATTATGACTGCAATATCCTTCAATACGCTGACGATATCGCATTAATGATCACCAACAGCTCTATAACAGACGCCGCTTGCTCCATGAATGTCTCTTTGTCCTCATTAAACCAATGGCTGATTAATCATGGGTTATGTTTAAGCGCCCCAAAAAGCTCGGCTGTTATTTTTACGCGTAGCCGTCGCATTCCAGATGTCCGCATAGAAATAGACGGTCAGGTAATCCCGATAAGCAACAAGGCTAGATTCCTAGGTGTGATTCTAGATTCTAGGATGTCGGGGTTGGATCACGTAGACGCCGTCGTCACAAGGTGTGAACGGTCAGTAGCTGTACTCAGAGCACTGGCTGGAGTATGGTGGGGTGCCAACCCCTTTACATTGAAGCTCATCTATAATGCATTGGTCAGAAGCGTAATGGATTATTGCTGCTTTCTTATTGCACCTTGCAATAAGGAAGCATTTAAAAAACTTGATTCCATTCAGGCCAAATGCCTTAGAATAATTATTGGAGCTATGAAGTCATCCCCTATAAATGCCTTACAGGTCGAATGTGCAGAGCCCCCCCTCGACCTTCGGAGACAATACCTAGCTGACCGTTTCGTTTCGAAAGCCCTTTCCCTTTCATCGCATCCCCTACTTCCGATCTTGGATCAGATCCACTGCTCCTATAATTCCTCCCCTTACTGGAACAATAAGTCTGTCCCTCCTGTGATTGTTAGGTACAGAGAACTTAAAAACCTCTCTGCACCCATCAGCCAGTATCCTGTACTCCCGGTCTTTTCTTCTGCATATGAGGTTATCCACTTCAGGCCAAGCATTGTCTTGGAACTAGGCATTGCAAAATCATCAGCGAACGCCAACAGGAAATTCAAACGCGCGTTGAGCAATTTCTGGAGTGACTGGAATTTGTTCTACACAGATGCTTCTAAACTGACTCCTGAGGGATGCACAGGAGTGGCAGCATATTATCAGAACTCAAGGATTGCTTTGTTAGCCAAATATCCCTCTGAGGCTTCTGTATTTACTGGGGAATGTGCTGCTATTCTGGAGTCCGTAAAGTTTATCAGAGCTCACAACTTGAAAAATTCAGTCATCTTCTCAGATTCTAGAAGCAGTCTTCAAGCTCTGGGCCAAGACCAGCTTCACTCCAGAACCTATTGTAGTTTAATCATAGAAATTAAAGCTCTACTTCTTGCGTGTCACGAGGATGGCTTAAAAATAGAAATCGCTTGGATTCCTGGGCACTCTGGCATAAGTGGTAATGAATGTGCGGATACGTTGGCAAAGTTTGCGGCCTCGAATAATGTGGAACACCAACATAACGTTGTGTACGGGTATGATTTACGAGCGGACACAAAACTCAAGCTTTTTAAATCTTGGGCTGCTGTGTGGGTGGACTCTTCCAAACGGAAAGGTGTCCATTACGCTAATATCCAGCCCGACGTCCAGCGGAAGCCTTGGTTTTGCAAATATACCAAACTCCCCCGACACACTATTACGACCTTGTGCAGGCTCAGACTTGGCCATTGTAGCAGTCCAGTATTCCTCAAAAAGATCCATGTTCGTGACAGCTCGCTGTGCGAATGCGGTCTTGATGAGGGTACCTTGGACCATATATTCTTTTCTTGCCCTTTAAACTCCCAATCCTTTGACCTTTACAAAAAACTTCCAAAGATCGAAATCCCCCTTCCAATCAATTTCCAATCCCTCTTAACTCACTTTTCTTATAAATTAATTAAATGTTTATCAAAATTTATTAATGATAATGATATCAAACTGTGATGGTGTGTAATATTGTAATTAATTATGGTATATATGATATGTCAGTTGTGTATGTCCTCTTATTTATCATTATTATATAATGTAAAGTAGAATAGTATAAAATAAGTAGATATAGTTTTACTAACCCATGTGTTGTCCTTTCAGCTACTAACAACAAACTACCACAAAGTTAAAGTTCGACGGGCCCATAATCTGCCGTCACTACTTGACACTGGCAGTATAGTCGACAACACTAAATTGGAGACTCGGTTGCCATTCAAGAAAGAAAAAAAAAAAAAAAAAAAAAAAGTTTGCGGATATTTCCCATCTCTAGTTGCGTAACATTAGTGGCGTGACAACGCACGAACTAATCCGAACATGTCCGCCAGAAGTTTAGAGCTGTATCGACGAATTTGTTTGCCAAAAACAATTCCGAGTTTTAATTAGAAGTTCGTTGAACAAGTGTGGGTTGCTGATCAAAAATAGATTTTATGAAATAGAATATTGGATTGATTATCTATTGTACTATTTTCCGTTTTAACAAGCTGCTGTTACTTTTTGTGTAAGTTGTGGCTATTTAGTTTGAAACCGATTTTGTTGTGAATTGTTTTTATTTATTTATTTTAGGGCACAGTTCTAGTACGAAGTTAGACGAGGTCTCTTGACCCAAATCTGACAGACTAGGTTTAAAATAACACAGACCAGATGGTGCATATCATACACTTAAAAAAAAGATGGATTCAGTATAAGTATAAATCTAAGATTATTTTATCATAAACTAGCCGCTCGCCCCTGCTTCACTCGGGTATCTTGCTTGCGATATCCAGAGCTTCCCCTCTGAAATAAAAGAATAATTTAGAAAAGTAGAGACTTTTCTAAATTCATACTTTTCTTTTCTAATTCCTCATGAAAGAATAATTTAGTAAAGTAGAGACTTTTCTAAATTATTGTTTC